ACTAGAACAGCCTTACAAGAAATGCTAAAGGGAGTTCTTTGAGTGGAAGTAAAAGGATGCTAATTAACATTATAAAAACATTAGGTAGTTTAAACTCACTGTAATGGTAAAAACATATATAGTCAAAGATTCTATAATATGATAATGGTGGTGTGTGATTAGCTTGCAACTCTGGTTTAAAAGTTAAACAAATGTACTAAAAATAACCATAACTACAATAATCTGTTATTGGTTATGCAAGATGAAAAATACGTAAATTCTAACATCAACAAACTAAAATGTGAGGAGGAGAAGTAAAAGTATAAAGTTTAGGCATGCTATTGAAATTATCACTTTAAAATAGGGTGTTATAATTTCAAGATATTTTATGTAAGCCTCATGGTAGAGGTCAAAACTTACTGATACCAAAAGGCATCAAAACATACAAAAAAGACAACTGAATGTGAAACAAACAATAGAGCTATAAGAGCCAGAAAACAACAAATTGGCAATAATGAGTCCTGACCTATCAGTAATTACTTTAAATGTAAATAGATTAAATTCTCCAATCAAAAAATATAGAATTGCTGAATGGATTAAAAAAAAAAAAAGATCTAATGAAAGTTGCCTACAAGACTCACTTTGGCCTTAAAGATACACACAGACTGAGAGTGAAGGGGTGGAAAAAGATATTTCAAACAAATGGTAACGCAGAAAAAAATCAGACTTTAAAAATGGTAAAAAGAGGGGTGCCTGGGTGGATCGGTCATTAAGCGTCTGCCTTTGGCTCAGGTCATGATCCCAGGGTCCTGGGATCGAGCCGTGCATTGGGCTCCCTGCTTGGCAGGGAGCCTGCTTCTCCCTCTCCCACTCCCCCTGCTTGTCTATCAAATAAAATGTTAAAAAAAAATAAAAATGGTAAAAAGAGACAAGGTCATTATATAATGATAAAATAAATCCATCAAGAAGATATAACAATTGTACATCCTAATGCAGTCAACACCAGAGTACCTACATATATAAAGCAAAATATTTCTCCTTTTAGCTCTGCGAGAAA